ACTTCAGGAAAAAAAAAAAAAATTGAGCAACAAAATGTATCAAGATCAACTCTCACATAAAGCAATTATAAGAAAAAGAGAACAAAATACTGTCACTGTAAATATAGCATGACCGAAATAGGTGCTCATTGAACAGGTCCAAACTAACCTATTATTTGAAAATAAGCATAAACCTTTAAGATAATGATAAAAGACATGAAAGACATCAGAATTGGAAAATCTCAAAAATGAGGTGACAGAACTCAGGAAAGAATTAACAATAAGAAAAGAAAACATTTCAGAAATTAAAACTAATTTTAGTCTTAATAGACAGAACAGATAAATACCTTAAAATAAACAGAAGGTCAATAAGAGGCACATTTTAAAACTTAAAAAATAAAGCAATAAAAAGATTCAAGAGAAAACGACAAATGCACATTGCAGATAGGCCAAAAAAAAAAAAAAAAAAAGAAGTTATGGATAATAGGATCCCTGAAGAAGAAACCCAAAGTAAAACAGAAAAAAAACTAAAAAACTCAAGGAAAACTTTTCTCCCCCCACCCTCATCAAAAAAGAAAAAGTTAAGTAATATACTGAAAGAGTCACATGCCTGAGAACACTGACTCAGAATGATCAACACTGGAGCATATTCTGGTAAAATGACTGGACTGTAAAGTAAAAGAAAAAAATCCTTTGGTCATTTAAAACAAACGGAAAAACATGACTTAAAAACAGAAAGACAGTTAAATAATCAAAGGAAAAAATGCGAAAAGCAATGATTTTATATTGAGAAAAACCAACCTTCTTGTATCTAGCAAAGTACAGAGGAAAACTGTCATCAATATGCAAGAACTCAAGTGGTATATTGGTCCTACAAGAACCTCTTAAGGAATCTGTTAGAGACCAGGCTTCAAACCAAATACTAGAGAAACAACATTCTAAGGACTGGTGGAGCACATTAAATATATTGTCATCTGTAGAGGTTAAGCTAAATGGGACCAACTGGAAGAGGCTCCTATTGGCCTAAGATGAGCTATAGTAATTGTAATAACTGCAATAGATCAAAACCTATCAAATATGTTAAAAATCTATGAATTCGTGATATTTAAAAAATAACCAAAAAAGGGCATCTTTGAAGGATAGGAAACCAGTTTGTTACTGGGGAAATTGGTTGGCATCTGACGCCAGCTCCTTGGCGCAGGGCAAGTTCTGGGTCACGATCACATTTTTTTGATAGTTGGCTGGGAGATTTCAACAGGCTTCTTCCACCTTGTTGGAGGCTGTGGCCCTCCCCTAAGCCTCAGTCTTCCATTGGGTTCTGGAAGGTGGGGCCCAGGTCCCTCTCGGTGCTGTCAGGCCGCCCAGTTTTCTGGAGCTCTGTGAACTCGTCGGCCACCCTGTATGAGACGCGCCAGGCCTTGCCCTCTGCAGCCTGGTGCAGGGTGGGCATCACCAGGGCCTCCACCCTCCTGGGGCAGGAGCTGGGCGATATTCACAACGCCTCCCCTGCCTGCCACCTACCGAGTCCTACGTTTCGGGAACAGGCCAGAAAACCTGGGGACGGCCTCACTCTGACGTTGTCCAGCTGCAGCACCTGGGCAACTCTCCCAGCTGGGAACGCTACACCAGGGGGTGTCATCTGAGCTCAGGTTCCGGAGTGGTGAGGGTCCCCAGCTCTCCCGCTGGGGCCCGGAGGACCTCATCCTCATCGGAGGTGACGTCTGTAAGGAGGGCAGAAGCTCGCTGTGGGTCCTTGCCACCCCGAGGGCCGCGACGTGGCGGACAGGCTCTCCACGCCATGCTGGCGAAGCTGCACATGCTGTTGTGGGGCCCTCTGTGAGCATGGCCGTGGTAGGGCATGTCCTCCCTAGCTGCAGCCATTGTAGCTCGAGCTGGTTCCTGCTGCGTCCGGCTACAGAGGGGTGGGGCCGGAAATAGGAGGGTAGGCGGGAAGTGGGACTGTACAGGGGCGGGGCCGGAAGTAGGTGGGAAATTGGACTAAAGAGGGGCAGGGCTGGAAATAGGAGGGTAGACCGGAAAGAGCAGGGAATGCCCGAAATGGGGCTACAGAGGGGCGGGGACGGAAGTAGGAGGGAAGACCGGAAATGGGGCTACAGAGGGGCGGGGCCGGAAGTAGGAGGGAAGACCGGAAATGGGGCTACAGAGGGGCGGGACCGGAAGTAGGAGGGAAGGCACAGTAATAGGGCTACAGAGGGGTGGGGCCGGAAATAGGGAAGGCTCAAAAATGGGAAGAGCCAGCCACAGACGTTTAAAAGTAGTTCTCTCTGGATGGTCAAGGAGCTAGAAACTTTAATTTTTCTTTCTTCCCTAGATGCAGAGGTCTATCTCATGTAGATTGGACATTTCAATACAATTTTACAAATTTCAGCCACAGGGCATTTTAGCAGTACTTGATTTAGAATGAAGGGGAAATTCAGAATGCAATCGTAGATATTTTTAGGCGACGGCTATGGTTTTTTCTCTTACATGACTTAAAACCGTGCGTTTTTCTGGAAGTGACATATGGTGAAAAGTCGCAGGTTTGCAAGAGCAGCTTTCTCCTCGCTGACCTTGTAAGTCTGAATCCTTGAAAGCCTTAGTGTCGGTGTCCTTACGGGTCATAAACGTGACGACGATCTCACTGCCCTTGACGGGAAAGGAGTTTGAAGGAAGGCTGTTAGTAAGGTGCAGAGTTCCATGCCAGTATGTTACCCTCGTTTCATCTCATGAGATCTGCAAAATCTCTTGCTCTCATTTCTCTTCTAACAGCAGTAAACGAAAACCTAGTCTTTCAAGAAATACATAGATCATCTAAAAATATTGGATAATTAGTGTAGTAATGAATTATCCTTTCAATTTCATCTTCATATTATGATATAAATAGCTATTTGCTTAGAAAAGAGAAAGAACAAGTATTATAACTAGCATAAAGACAAAACTGAGTTTGCTTGTATTCATTATGATAACTGGTTGGTCCTCTTTTTCATTTTTTACCAAACCATTGCTCTAGTGTTTTGAAACAGAGAAATATTAGGAACTGTGGTTTCATAGCAAATTTGACCAAATGTGTATAAATATCTTTTAAAGTTTTTGGTGAGAAAATAGACTTACTTCATTTTCTTGGTTCTATTCCAACTAAAGAATTACGTTCTGCTGACCTGAAGAGAATATCTGGTCCCATAGGATGAATTACTTTTTGCTTTTTCTTTTAATATTGCGTAAAGTTTATGGCCATGCATTTAGTGCCTTTTGATTACAACTGTTGGTGGTAGTTTTTTGTTTTTTTTTCCCTTGAAATGAAAATTGATGAAATAAAAATGTGGCATTTCTGTATGAGAATGAACTTTTTTCAAATATTAAATTTGGGCATTATATCAGAAACTAAGATTTAATCCCAGCCCCTGCTATAACTTTTTGGAAGGCACATAGATGTTGGTTATTTGTTGATTGGTTGATTTTGCTTTGTTTTTTCATGTCCTAAATATATATTTTGCTGAAGAGTGTATCATATGGAATTGGATTTGCACTTTTGGAATGATGTGTCACGTTTTCCCAAGCAGGAGTTCATGTTAAATCACAAATATAGATAAGCTAGAAGAACATTAATGCCAAGTGAAAGAGGCTTGTCATAAACAAACAAACAAAATACATATTGTATGATTCTATTTATAAGAAATATCCAGAATAGACAAATACATAGAAAGAGAAAGTAGATTAGTGGTGGCCAGTGAGTGAGTTGAGGGGAGGAGACAGTGAGTGAGGGAGAATAGCTGCTAATGGGTATAGGTTTCCTTTTGGGGTGATGAGAGGGTTCTGGAATTGCCTAGAGGTGATATTTGCACAGTTCTATGAATATACTAAAAAACACTGTGTTGCACACTGCACTGACTGGGCCGGACTGGGTAAGCAGCCTGGTAGCTTGTGCATGTGGCCTTTTCTTCCCTACTTCCCCCACTCAGTTGAAAACCTGGATATGGCTTGCAAACCACTGACCTAAGAAGTGAAAACTTCATGCTGCCAGATGGAGATGGCCCAAGTAAAAACTGGAGCCCATTACTGTATTATTTCCCTGTATGTTAACAATGTGTTAAGAGCAGACATAGAAATAAATTGGGTCATAAGTGCTTATCCTTGCATGGGGGCCTTCTTTTTACATTTCTGTCATGAAAAGCTTCTTTTCTTTTGTTTTCTTTACCAAAACATTTCAGGGTATACTCATAAACTTTATGATCTGCAGTTGTCATACCCATCCTAAAAGGCCTAAATGTCCTTTAGGGTAGGGGATATGTCCTCTTGGCTTTATTCTCAGTCCCAGGCTTTTCTTCTCTAAAAACGTCCTTCTTTACTCCCAATTATATTCTGCTTATTTATCCTATTCTGCCTGGATAAATCTTAGCACCAAAGATAAAGGGGTGAGAGGAAGGTGGAAGAGGGTAAAAGGGGCATAAATGCTGATGGAACGACACTTGACTTTGGATGGTTAACACACAGTACAGTATACAGATGATGTATTATAGAATTGTACACGTAAAAACTATATGCTTTTATTAACCAATGTTGCACCAATACATTTAGTAAAAGTAAGAAATGAAAATAAAGATTTAGTCCACAGTTTGTATGGTTGGGAAGGACGAAGTATTTTTTACTGTGTAGAGTAGGACTGTGGCGCTGCTCTCTGTCTCTTATTATTCCTCTTGTTCCAGACACAGTATTAGTAGTTTGTGTGTAGTCAGCATAGGCTATATAGATCACTCTCATTTCTTCACCTTAGTTAGAACCATGTATCAACCATGCTACTTCATCATCCCTAAGTGTTTAATAGTAAACTTCAACTTTTTTATAAATAGAAATCACTCAGTAAAATTTCCAAAGCTAATTTTACTTTTTGGGCAAGTTTTTAAAACATAAAGTTACCGAAACTGTTGTCATGTAATTGTATTAATTTATCTGATCTAATTTATTGTAGAAAGTTATTTCCTTCCATTTTAATGAGAGAAGTGTAATTTTTTTCAACCTCATAGACAACATCTGGGGAGGATGTACGAGACTTCACAAAGGTCCTGAAGAATAAGTTCAGATCAAAGAAATACTTTGCCAAACATCCTCGGCTTGGCTACCTGCCCGTTCAGACGGTTCTCGAAGGTGACAACTTAGAGACGTAAGTTTGATTTTAATATTAGAACTTCTATGCACTTATATCTGATAGTGTCTTTTATTATGTTGGTGACACAGGAATTGTTTGATACCTAAAACAATTTGTGTTTTGGTAAAATGTTTCATTTTAAAGAAGGTAAATTAAACTCAAAATCAATCTTCACAAGTTGAATTTTTACTGTTTGCTTTGGACATGCAGCCAAACTTTTGCGTTTAATTTTGCACTTGTTCCTAAATTTTGCAATGTGTTAATGTGTTAGCCTTTGCATAGGTTATCTCTTTTCCTTCTAAAAATACTTAAAGCAAATTGTGTTCTTTCATTATTTTATTTATTTTCCATTTTCCCTCTTTGGGGGATGTTTTACTATTTCTTATAGTATGTTTCACACCTATATACTTTTAATATAATGGTAATAATACTTAATCTATATTTACCTATGCTAAAATCTCATCAAAATCCAATATTACATTTTTAATTTTTGTTTTCTTGAACATGACAGAAACTTGAGATAGCTTTATATAGTATATAAAATAGATACAGCTTCTTTAAATTTTATAATTTGAGCTTACAAGCATAAATGAAACAAAATTTCAAGGTAACAAAATTACTATTGGATATTAAAGCAAAGAAAAATAACAATTTAGAGCCTGAGATGACGAATTTTGAAAATGAGCAGAACAAATGCAAGAAGTAATTTTAAATTACTAAACAATTATATATCAAGATAAAAAATGAATATGATTTAAATCTTTGAATCTTTAAAATATGAGCATAAATATGCCTGCCAAAGTAAGTGTGTGTGTGTGTGTGTGTGTGTGTGCACGCGCGCGCGCGAGCCTGAATCTTGGAGAAAATTAACTTTAATTGCTAGTCATCACCAGAGTTCCCAGTTGTAAAGGATACTGAGGTTCTTGTTCCAGAAAGATGGCCTCAAATGATTATAAGATAAGGTCAGAAGTGTGATGTGTGGAGTTTTTTGCATTATACAGTAGAAAAAAAATTGTAGAAAAAAAGTATAAAAACAGTTTCAAGTACAATTTTTGAGAAGTCAAACTTTATTTAACTTTCAAAACTCATAGAGACTTAATCTGAGGACAATAATAGTCCAGTGTATTGTGACATTGCGTGTCTCAAAGATATCAAAATAGAGGGATAGATTATTTAGCCTGATTTTTTTTCCTCCATGTAGACCACGGGCTTTGATACATTAATGGCAAATGTATTTTTTTACTTACTGTGGAACTGCTAAAATGTAGAAGAAAGACTGCAACTAACTATAATAGATGTCTTTATCTTGCTACAGGTAATATGGTGTGCATATAGAAAGAAATATAATGCAGCTGTATATGCAAACAGGTCTAAAAATACCATGTACATTTAAATCATATGGAAAAAAATCAAACTTTTCAATAACTTTGCTTGATATCCAACTGTATGCAATTAAGATATATGAGATATATGCCTTCCAGTCATTTTTTTCAACACTACATTTTAGAACAAATTTTAATAAGCAATTACAGTTCAGAGAGAGCTATTCAAATACTTAAATCCTTAGGAAAGGTAGATTTTTGGTCCTCTTTTTGTGGGTATATGTTTGTCCTTTTCTTCATTAGGTTGTATGATAATCCATTATTATTTGTCTTACTATCTAATATGTAGTGTAACTGGGCTGAACACTTAAGGATAAAGAAAAAATTTTACTACTCTTGACATGAGACCTAACTAACCTTTGGAGTAGCTGCTTGAAGCACAGAGTTATGGCACTAGTTTTATGTATGGAATAATTGATAGTTTGAACTCACGATGTACCTTTTGATAAATCATCGGCATTTTGTGCCTCAAATACGTATATCCTTGTTATTAACCGTGCACATAAATAGATCTTTTAAACTCCTTCTACGCAGTTTTGATAATTTGCCTTTCAGTGTCAAAATAATCATTGACATCCATCATTCTATTCTGAGTGACTCAAAGTAAAAATCAGAAAAGGCATGCCAAAAATTTTGTGGTAGGATTTCTGGCTGTAAGTCTGAAAATGCTTCATTTTGTCTAACATAAATTAACCAGCACTTTCAGTGAGAAGAAAACAAGAGAAAGAAGAGGAGTAGAAGATTAAATCAGATGTCACAAGATGCATTTTGAAAAAGATTTATGAGCTACTATTTAGAGTGGGCAGATTTTCTTCTTTTTTAAATCCAGAAACGTGTTCTTGTACTTGCTCTATAGTTCATTTTTCTGCTGAGCCCTTTCTAGTACAAGGCCGCTTAATCTTCTAGTGTAACAATTTATGTGAGTGGGTAGTAAAAAAGTTTGATTTTGTTTATTCTCCTATTTGTGGGAGGAGAACATTGGAGAAAAACCAGTGAAGTGGTAAATGTGTTGAAGTTATTTATGAAGCTGATTAGAATTTTCTTCTTCTTTCTCTTTTATCACTGCAAAATTTAATATCTTATCCTCTATCCCGTAATTATACTTGCACATATGGAGGGGATTTATGGGGGAAATCAGTTATTTCTAAAGGAAGGTAAACAAACTCATGCCTAGGTATTCCGTTAATTTTATATCTTTGCAGGATTTCTCAAACAATAAATCAAAATAAATGAGTAGAGTTTGGTTAAAAAGTGACCGTTGAAAATAGACCTGAAAAACAAGCTAAAATAGTGGCAAAAGCAATTTGAGAATTGTGAGAGATTGTTATTGGCTAAAAAGTTAGGTTGGTTTCTCTGAATTTTAAAGAATTAATGTAGACACCTGTCCCTGACATTGGCTAAGATGGAATAGATAAATTACACGGGCTTTTAAGATTCTTACCGCAGCAAAAACGAGCTCCTCGTCAGTGTGGTTATGGCCATGGGAGCCCTGGCCTGGGAGGAAGCAGCAGCTGACCTGAAACCTGAAAGATGTAAGGCCAAACATTCAGTGCTTGGTGTGGGAGCAGGAAAGGGAGAGTTTCCAGCGAGGAAACGTTTTCAAAGGCCCAGTGTCAAGATTATTTTCAAAACTGGGGTGGGAAGCTGGGAATCGTGACAAGCATGAGAGTGGAGAAAGAGTCAGAGACCACCGGATGAAGGGCCTCACAAGCCACACCAGGCTGTTTGGAGTTTATCCCGAGAGCGGTCAGGAACCATCGAAGGTTTACATGCTCGCGATGAGGGGACCCCACTTACCCTGCTCTGGGACAAGGGGATTTAAGAAAGCAAAAGGCTGGAAACATAAGGAGCCGTCTGTTCAGAATTTCAAACACTAAAAGAGTCACAAAGTTCTTCAAAGCAAGTCTGGGTTATAGTTCGTATACTGTTGAGTATATTGAGTGGTGTCTAATTCCTTGCATATTCAGTGTGTGATTAATCAGAACACCTTGTTCAGCCTCCACTCTGGAGCAGGGGGAGGCCTTATTAAATCTAGGCTAACACGCAGATCGATCTTATGTTTAACCCCATTTAATCATAGAGAATATTGCCTTCTTCTTTTTCTTTTTTCTTAAAATATTTTTTCTTTATTGATTTTAGACAGAGAGAGAGAAACATCGAAGAGAGAGAACATCGATTGGCCGTCTCCTGCATGCCCCCCACTGGGGATTTGGCCCACAACCTGGGCATGTGCCCTGACCAGGAATAGAACCGGTGACCTCTGGGTGCAGGGGTCGACGCTCAACCACTGAACCATACCGGCCAGGCTCCTTTTCTTTCTTTTCCTTCCAGAGTTAAATGAAAAAGCTTATCACTTAAGGGTGGTTTTTTTCCCCCTACAAATCAAACTACTTTGAAGTCAATGAAGCCTTAAGTTTAATTTTTCAACTCTTTATTTCTTTTCTTAGAAAATGTTTCAGTATATAAGAAGACGGTTTGAGAAACGCTTCAGTTCAGCTTTCTGTCTCTGGCATCCGTATCTTAGTTCTGTGAAGCACGCCTGTGCTCTCCGCGTTAACTTCCCGAGAGCAGCCACGCCGTTTCACCAAGCCTTTCCAAGTTCAATCAAGGCTCTTAAAAAACACATATTTTTCTTGTGTTTAAAGCTCACGGTAAATGCTGTGATACCCTTGAATTGCAGAAATAATCTCTCAAGCAGTTACAATTTTTTGGAACGTGTGTAGCAAACCATTCACCTGACATTTAACATCTGTATTTTGGAGTTAATGAAAAGTAATCATGTAAAAAGACTATTGAATAGTACAGTATTGTTTCATTGTTCTTGTGTCTGTTTTATCCATGGATAATTAAGTCTATTTACAATATAAATATTCTGACAAACACAGACTGGATAAATGCCTGGTTTTGAAAGCAGGTTCAAAGACTCTCAGTTTTTCATCCCAATAAGATGACCTTCTATCCCTTTTTAGTCTGTGCTATTTAGACATCAACGTGTGCCTCCCACTAGGAGATGAGATCATTAACTTTTTCTTTAGTATGTATGTATAATAGATTTAGGAGAATCAAGTAGAATGAAAATAATTCAGCTTTCCTTCTTCATTGTTTCAATCAGCATTGACTTTTGTAGGAGACTTTATTTAATTAGAGAACTGATTTTCTTTATTTTAGACTTTTAAATTTCCACACTCACCAAAAAAAAAGTTAGAGTTTGAGCTAGCTTTTAATTAGGACCAGTTGTTTTCAAAAAGGTATTTCACGGACATGGGGATTTCAGGGCCAGGAGTAATACTGAATGATCACGTTCCAGACCCAAGCCACGATTCAAACATAACCAGTTTTTTTTTTTTTTTTTATCAGTTTCATAGATTGAACTTCTGAATAAAATCTTGTATGAAGAAAGTGTAACATGATCTAAAAAGTTGTTTTCAGTTTTATTGATAATGTGAAGTTTTTGATGGGGTGTAGGGGAGATATCTAGTTGTTAGGTCTTTTTTCAATTTGTCTGTGAGGTTGAGATACTTGGTGTGCACCTGGATATGAATGTTTTCTTTTAAAATTGAACATATTTTTTTAAATAAAATTGGACAGAGAGTCAGAAAAGTCTTATTGCAACTCTGCCATCAGTATATAATATAGTCTTTGGTATTTAACTTTACCTTTCTGACCAAATTCCTTGGTCAGAAAGGTAAAGAAAAATATGATTGCATCTTTCTTCACTATATTATAATAGGAATATTATATTTAAATTGTTTCTATAATTTTGAGCTATTTTGGAGCATTCTGTCTCATGTTTTCAATAAGAATATTTAAAGATTTATTTGCTGTCCCATAACAAATACCCGTAGTATCTGTGAAAAGGCCCCAGTAGGCACGTAAATATCAGCATCTTCTCTAGAATAAACAGTGACTTCTGTGACTTGACTTTAGGTGGTGAGACCTAACAGAGCAGAGGAAGACAACTGAGATGTTCCCCTCCCACGGCTTTTGTCTAATTTGCTCTAAAGTGTTTGTTCTGTGACTTTTGTTTCCCTCTCCCCTCTCTGCAGTCCTATCACACTCATCAGTATGTGGCCGGAGCATTATGAGTGAGTATTTACAGCTCCATATACGGAAGAGGATGTTCTGATCGGTTTTGTTAGCATGGGGGTGATTACTAAACTCTTGTTCTAAAATAACAGTTCTGCCTCCCGGGTAACAATCCTAGTGGTCTCTTTGCATGGCAAATTCATTATTTAACTAAGCTAACGTTTCTAATAGGAACACCTATCAATATGCAGTATAAAACTGTTTATTTGCATTTTCCTTTATAGCCCCTCACAGTCTCCTCAGCTGTTTCATGATGATACCCATTCAAGAATTGAACAGTATGCCACACGGTAAGAAACTTTTATAGGAGCCCTTGCTGCACTGCCTCCCAGAATGTACCTTTTTCTGTGTTGATCCTATACCATTAATGTGCCTTGACTTCAGGGATGTTGCTTTGTAGGAGTCATAATTCCATTATATTTGGAATTGGGGCCCTCATCTTTCTATGTGGTAATTTGCACTTTACCAAACACCTGCTACACACTCTATAAAGAGTATAAAGAGTAACTCAGCAGCATGTGATTATTGAGCTCATGAGAATCCAAACACTGCACAAGCAGGATTTAGACAATGTAACCCAGTCTCACTGAATGAAAGTAGGGATTGAAAGTGTTCTCAGGAGATGGTGCACATATGAATTACAATATGTGATTAATAAATGCTAATGCTTTAGTACAGGGGTTTATTTTAGAGCCCCTCTCCCCCCAAAAGTATAAAGAATAAGCTGGTCTTGATGGTATGCAGAAACTTCAAAAAACATGTATACTAGGTGTCTGTGGTGCTAGTAACTAGCTATGCCTAAAAAGGTTAGTTCAAGCACCATAAAAATAGTAACATTTGAGCTGGATCTTGGCCAAAGAGAATTTCTGGGACAAGCCAGGCTTGGACTAATGAGAAAGTATTCTCAAACGCATCGAGCTGGGCAAGAACGTGGCTTGTGCAAAGAACTGCAGGTAGGGAAAGGGTCGAGGATGAAGAGTGGATGGACAGACAGAAGCTGGAGTCCAATAATGAAGGCCCACTTGCTGAGGAGCAGCATTATGTCCTTAGGTAAAGGGGGAGTGGTGGAGAGTCTTGAAGCATGAAAGGAACATAGTCAGATTTGTGTGAGAGTGAAGATGGATTTGTGGGTCTAGGCGGGTAATTAGGAGGCCAAGCCAGGATGTGAGGGTGATCTGGCTGCGACATCTGTCACCCCCGTGATTGCCTGGGTTGATTTGGCTGATCTGGCTGGCTAGGTGGGTGTCCCCCCTCCTCCCTCAACCGATCCATGTGCGTCCCTCCCGAAGCTGTGAGCTCGGTCGAAGAGGACGACCTTCCCCCCAGAGGAGAGGACTGGTCTTCAGTCAAGGGTGTACGAGTAGCTGTACTCCCCTGCTAGAACCTCCAAACAAGCTCTCAAGGAGGCTAAGCCAATTGGGAAGCTGTAGAACATGGTATAAGATAAAGACCTACAGGCCTTAAGTCAGTGGTGATAGAAACATAACTCAACATTAAATGTTGTTTTAATATCACAATCTTTAGAAGATTTGAACCTTTCTATATTTTGATTTTATGACAGTTTAAGAATGACTGGGGCTGTACCTCCAGTTGACAACACCCCATGTGGCCACCTTGCCTAACCTCCTTGTTTTCATTTTTCAGACTGGCCCAGATGGAAAGGACTAATGGGTCTTTCCTCACTGACAGCAGCTCTACCACAGGAAGTGTGTAAGTAACTCATGGAATTAGTGCTGCCCGGTAGGCTGGTCTGGTCTTATGGCTGTCGGAAATGATCTTCACTAATCGTGGCCCTGGATTTTGATCCCAATCAAAACTGATGTGTGATTACAAAAATGTCTACATAGATTTTATGCTTTCAAGCCATGGTAGTATAAACTGGATGTTTATTTACTTTCATATAAGTCAATGAAAAAAATTCTGTATTTGGTGGCTAATCTGCTTCAGGAGAATCAGATTGTTCTGTTAATTGATACAGATGTAGATAGTCATTGCATTTGTATGAATTGTCTTGTTAATTTCACATATGTAATTCCATAGACTTTGTGCCCATCTGTAAATAATGTTCCTTCTGCTCACGTTTCCTCCACAGCCCCGGCACCGAACAACTGTGACTCACACACACTTGGACATACACTCCCCTCCCTTCCATTGAAAAGTGTTAATTCTTCTGCCAATGTTTGATTAGCAACTAAGAAAAGCCTCATTGACTTTAGAATATTTTTTAAAAACCTTTCTAGGCAGATATTTTGTTTGACATTGTTGTGTGTCGTTGTGCTTTTGGAACTTTTTCTTCCCCCACCCCTTGAAATTAAGCTGTTAATTCTGAATGGTGTCTCAGGATTTCAGCAGTGTCAAGTTTACTTGATTACTCGGGTTCGTTGCACTTTGGATCCAAGGGAAGCTGTAAGGTAGCCAGAAACGTTGTAGGACACAGTACCTAGATGTCCTATCCCAAAGGACCATGGAGAGAGCCAAGTGAACTACCGTCGGACTCTAATATAGAATATTTCCCTGTCAATATTTTAAAAATAGTTTTACTGTCATTAAGCTTATACATAAATGTTCTCAGGAGATTCTTTAATTTTAAATTTCAAAGGTTAACATGTTAATACTTTACAGTAATACAGTAGTGACTTATGCATTATTATTTATGTACTGTGGATATGGAACAATTCCCAAACAAGATAATGCCATGTTCATATTCTTGTTTCATATTTAACCTGCTATATGTAGTTTATGTAAAAGAGTTAAATATATTGAATATCTCCTAAATCAACCTTTTCTTCCAAGGTTGACAATAGCTAAAGAATTAAACACAATTAAAAAATAATAATTGAAACCAAAGTAATTAAAACCAAATTTAAATTATGTAAAATGTGTTTGTCACCTCCTGTGAACAGAGTAAAGATAATGCTCAAATTTAGTATATCCTATCTCCACATTAAAATCAACACTATTTATTTTTAAATTTAGTACTAATATCTAAGGAAAGAAAAAAAATAATTAGATGATTAACAGCTGAATACAATTCAATATGCTATTGATAGATGGTATATACCTCTATATCTTTTCCCAACTTCCCATTCAGTGAAGTCATTAGCTTAAATTGGCCATGATGGAAGTACTTAAATCATAAAAATTGAAAATGCTACAATTCAGGGACTTTTCACTCACCTTTTCGAGAACCTGCTGTTCGAGGGTCACCAGCACACCACTGCCGTGCCCCAAGGGAAAGGGCTGCAGAGGTAGATGGTGTGTGTCCATGAATCTTACGTGCTCGAGAGAAAACAGGTGAGTGCTCCCACCGGCGGCACATGGCGAGGGCCTCTGTGGTAGAGGGACTAATGGCCCCCAAGAGAAGTCCACATCCTAATCCCTGAATTATTTGAATATGTCACTTTATGTGGCAGAAGGGACTTTGTACATGTGATTAAATGAAGGATCTTAAAATGGGGAGATTATCCTGGATTATCTGGATGGAGCCAATGTAATCACAGGCGTCCTGCTAAGAGGGAGGAGAGTCAGTGTGAGGGAAGGAGATGTAACCATAGAAGCAGAGCACCGATACAGAGAGATTTGCAGATGTTAACACCGCTGGCTTTGGAAATGGAGGAATACAGGTGGCCTTCAGGCAGTGGAAGAGGCAAGGAAACACTCTCCCTGATAAGATTAAGTTAAATTAAGAGTGTGAGAAGGTCTAAACGATGAAAGAGAAATTGCTTCCTAGTCACTGGTGTACTGATATTTTCTTAATGAATATGTTGATCAGTCTTATTTTGATAAAGCTGGTTTTGGAAGGTCTTTGCTCTTTCACAGTTTGAATTACTGAGTAAACTAGGGTTCTTTTTTCTGTGGACGTGCAGGGTTCAGCCATTCAGAGGAGAATACTAACAAGGACTCGGACTCATTAAGCCCTACTTAGAACCTAAAACCCAGTGGTTTGACTTGTAATGGTCACTTTTTCTTCTTTAAATGTATATTTACTTATTTAAATATTTCAATTTAATCAGTACTAGTGACTCAAAAAGACAAAAAACTGTTACTATAATAAACACCCTTTCTCCCAAGGAATAGAGACTTATGATGAGGATGATTATTACCTTTTTGGGCTGATGGGGCTTCAGGATTTGTGAAGGAAGTGTTAGGAACTAAGCCTCAGTATTTCTCTGGCTCTCCAGCTGTTTCCCACCCATAACTTCGCATCTTGGGTCATAGGGTACTGGAAGAAATGTTAGCTGCTCTTAACAAGGTACCGTGCTGTCCTTTCATTGCTTCAGCTTGGATCAAAGTGTGTGTCCCGCCGGACATCTTTGTAATAGCAGAAAGTACACAGCGTACTCTAACACTCTGGCCTTCCCCTGGAAATTCCCTGAAGCTCCAGCATTGGTCAGATCATGATATAAACTCAAGAGACAATAGATGGCAGAGTTTAGTACCACTCAACAGTATCGCCAGCCTCTGAACAAGGGGGTGGGGGTGGGGTGGGCAGTGCTTGGCCTTGGCCGTTCTGCTTCACACTCAGGTCTGTCTGAGGACAGCCAGCGTTAAGCTACTAGCAATTCTTAATTGTTCTTGGGCAAGGTTAAAAGCTACCTCCAAGTACCTTAAATGAAAAAAAATGATATAAGTTAGCAAATCTCTATACATTTTAGAATTGTTCTGTCTCAAACTCTCCACCTTTCTCCAAGGCCCTCTTAAGTTGAGGTTTTTGTTATTCCAAGCTGGGTCATAGAAATCTTATTAGGTTTCTCTTTAATAGTAATGGAGATGATGTAAAAACAACCACCACCTCCTCCTTAGTGTAGAGGGTACTAAAAGCCAAGCACTGTTCTAAGCACTTGGCCCATCTTTGCTTATTTAATCCTCCCAGAACCCTTCGAGATGATACTCTTGTTCTTGTTACCACCATGATGCAGATGAGTACGTTGAGGCCCTAAGAGATTAAGGAGCTTGCCCAGAGTCTCACAGGAAGTGGTGGAGCTGGGATTCAGACCCAGGCAGCCTACCTCCAGGCACAGGCACCCTGGCCACCCTTGACCACCCCACTATCTCAGCTGCTTTGCGAGGAGATGCCTTCCCAGACGGGGGTTGAGGGGTCAGAGCATCTGAAGTTTTAGCTAGTCTTCCCGGAGGTTAACACTGACCTTGTCCCAATGCCACTGTGCATCCGTGCCTCAGCTTCACAGTCAAAGCTTGTCTGTGTCTCACAGGACCTTTTCGTAGTAGCAGGAAGTATGGATAGGTAGATAATATACATAGCAGCGGGAGGTATAGATACAAGATTTTGTAACTCAACATCTGGCCGGACCAATCTCCTATATTTGCTTTGGGTGATCTCAGCCACAGGCAATAACAGAGCCCTAGGCTTTGAGGTATGAATTTTGAGATTTGAGCCTGTAATTCTCTCTAAGTTCCATGTCTCTTTGGTCATTTCTGTCTTCAGAAGCAGCTTGACTTTTCTCTGTCCCTCAGATTGGCCTGTGGAACCAGTGGCCTCGCGCCCCACAGCAGTCACCTTCCGTGAATCTGGTCAGTTAGCTGTTGCTTCTCTCTGCCTCGTGGAATGCTGCCTTCCCGGCCTAGGCCTGAAGCAGTCTCGCAGCTCTTTATCCCACACAGACCCAAATCCCAGCTCTTGCCTTTTCCCTGAGCGTCGGACTCGACAATTTAAAGGGCACTGATTTTAAGGATGCGAATTTTTTTGAAGGCATAATTGAGCAATCATGTCTCAAAGAGAGACAGGACCCAGGACAGTCCTGAGGAATCTCAGTAGCAGGAACTCAAGGCCCTTGCCAGCAGGATGTCTCATTTCATCCTCCCTCTGCCCTTGAGAGACACTGTTTTATGTGGGAAGGTCAAATTGGGAGGCGGGTGTGGTGCGCACTGACCTTGCTGTTTGCAAGTCTGAAGCAGGGATCAGAATAATCCTTTAAAGAAAGGAGATTATTATTTTTATTTATGTCTTGCCTACTTGCAAAAGCTCATTGGATGAATCATAGTTCTTTTGTCATCTGATATGTACTAATTTTGTAGTGTAGATAGTGTTTACTATGTGTGACTTAAACAGTATAATTATATTCCATCTAATGGTATTTTGTTGGTACAGACCTATATTTTTACAACATTTTCAATTTTAGCACTAGGCACACTATTGGCATTTAATGACCCTAGGTACCCTCATGCACTGTCTGTAGCTAAAGGATATGCTCTTATTTTTCACTATATATAATTAAGAACTTGACTGTATCTATTTTTATATTTAACTTTTTAGCCTAATAATCTGTGAAAAATACTTAAGACTAAAATTATACGTTCCGTGTAAATAATTTTTTATAGAAACTGGCTTACTTCCCTTCAGGATATGTTAATGAAAGAATGTAATGATAGTGGTGATGATGATAATTATAATTATAATAATATGTTAAACCCCATCAGCTTCCCATAAGAAATGAATCTGTGTAAATGTTGACAACAAAATGCATCTCCAATGCTAATTTTGACTCATCTGTGTGCATATTTGTTTCACTGATGCTTTTACGAAGTCCTATCCTATAAAGCCCTAGAGCCCAGGATTTGTTTCCCAAAAGCCATCAAAACAGACGAGGTATAAACTGCTAACTGTGTGCCAGGCCAAAACTGCTAACTGTGTGCCAGGCCAGCACTCTCCTGCTAGCATTAGTCAGGAGGTCTGTCATTTGCACATTGGAAAGGAGATTTGACTGGATCTCCCCATAAATGAAGGTAGGGGGTTCCAGGTCTGCTGGGAAGCATTTTCTTCTCAAAAACATGTCAGCCTGTTTGCTTTGTTACACTTCTATTTTCGTCAGTCATTAGATTCAACCACATTATTGATATATCTAGTTCATTGGACAAGTAGTTAGAAAAGTGGGAAAATACAACTGAATTAATTGTAGTTTCTTATTTGAATGAAGAGCGATTGATCATAGAAATGCCATGCTGATAATATTAAGTAAGATATCTATATTTATTTCCAAAATATAATTATAATTTGTGCTAAGTTATTTAAATAAAGAATATGAGGGCTATATTTTCCTATCTATGGGTCACAGAGTATTACAAAATGGCTTTCAGCTGAAGACAGTGAATCGGCGGACGTCTTAGTCCACGTGGGCTACTGCAACAAAACGCCTTAGACTGGGCGGCTTATACACAACAAATGCTTATTTCTGGCAGTTCCAGAGGCTGGAAGTCTAAGATCAAGGCCCCGCAAATATGATTTCGGATGAGAGTCAGCTTCCTGGTCCATAGATGGCCACCTTTTTGCTGTGTCCTCACATGGTGGAGATGACAACTCTGGTCTCTTCAGTCCTTTGTGAAGGCACTAATCCCACTCATGAGGTCCCACTCTTATGACCTGATCACCTCCCACAGATGTGGAAGCTGACAGCTATCATTGGGGGTTAGGACTCAATATATGAATTTTGGGGAGACACAAACGTTTAGTCTATAGCTGTTTATTTTTAATTGATAGTCTACTTTTTGGCATTTGATTTTGCCTGTATTTTTTATATAAACTGTTTTTGTAGTATACTTTATTGTATAGTCTCTACTGAGTAAAATATCTCTTCTGAGGTTTGTGATAAATACATGTTAGAGTAAGGCAAAGCATGAAATGTTGGTATGTGTAGTATACATACAGTATTAGATAAATATCTTCCTAGAGTTTTAGAGGGAGGTCGTGGGTTGTCGTAGAAACATGTCATTGAATGTAAGACATGTCCAAACCTGTAGAGAACTTTTATGAGTTTATTTGAGCCAAACTGAGGACATGCTGGGAAGAAAGATCTAAAATGCTCCAGAGAGTGAGGGTTTTGCAATTTCTGGTTTACCCTTGGAATTAAGGAGGCAACAGATGAGGATTCCATGAAGGTGGGAGAAAGCAAGGTACAGGGTAATTAATGAGATTGTCTTCTCCCTTAGGGTGGGTGTGTCATGGAGAGGTCTGGAAAAGAGGGTTATCTCCAGCATTTCAAAGATGTGTTAACCTAAATGCAGAAGAGCGATGGACAGGGCTTGCTTAAACCTTTAACTAAAGAAGGTATAGTCCTGAAGCAGGATGACCCGCCGTGACCTTACCAGTTAGGAATTTGTGAGCAGATGACCCCAGGAGATTACGTTTGGTTAGATTTATTACAGCAACCCTTTTTCCTTCACAGGGGCATGGAGCTTTAAGGCAAACGTGGCCCAGCAGCCATCCTGGTCATCATGGATCCACTTCCTTCGTGTGCAGAGACATCAGTGTCCAGACATGAGCCTCTGTTTAATTTGTCTCCCTAGGGAGGATGAACATGCCCTCATCCAGCAGTACTGCCAGACCCTCGGAGGGGAGTCGCCAGTGAGCCAGCCCCAGAGTCCAGCTCAGATCCTGAAGTCGGTAGAAAGGGAAGAACGCGGGGAGCTGGAGCGGATCATTTTGGAACTGGAGGAGGAACAAAGGTGTGCTAGACCTGGGAGCAGAAGACGTGTCATCCTGGGAAGACTCGCAGTGGAGAATTCTTAATAATAACTTCAACATGCCCCCTACCCATCCTCCTTTCAAGCTGTTGTCCAAGAAATGGAGTCAAAGTTTTATAGGACATTACCAAGCTGGCCTGCCGGCTGTAGGTTACAGCAGCATTGGGGTTTCAGGCATGATATCTATTAGAACAATTACTTAAAGCTACCATTTTATTCATGCTTGCTCGTCTCACTGTTAAGAAGTAATTTTATCCAGGAGGAAATAAATAGCATGTGCTAAATGGGGAGCTCATAGACAATTTTGGGTAGAAGTTGATGTGCACCACAGTAATTTCAGTTTTTGTTTTTCTGTATTAGAAATTTGCAGGTGGAATATGAGCAGCTAAAGGAGCAGCACCTGAGAAGGGGGCTCCCAGTCGGTTCCCCTCCAGACTCTATTGTATCTCCTCATCACACATCTGAGGATTCAGAGCTTATAGCAGAAGCAAAGCTCCTCAGGCAGCACAAAGGTCGGCTGGAGGCTCGGATGCAGATTTTGGAAGATCACAATAAGCAGTTGGAGTCGCAGCTGCACCGACTTCGACAGCTGCTGGAGCAGGTAGAGTGTGCAGAGCTCAGTGCCACCCCTTTCCAGTCCCATCTGCCAGGGGCTTGGCCCAGTGTCACTGGAGGTTCGGTTTCTCAGTTCCATAGTTAATTTAGACCTGCTTAGGAATCCCTCTACCAACGTAAGCAATAAATCCTCACTGGCAGACACACAAAATGTGCCTGCCCATTTTTGGATGGAATTTCCCATTCATCTTTAACACTGAAATCTATCTCAGCTCTGAATAGTTTAAGGAAAAATATCCTATGACATACATCTGCATATATTAAACAGGGGAAACATCTGTATAGATTAAGGGAAAGGAAGTGACCTGAACTCTTCATTCTAAAGCCTTTCTTCCAATGAGCTATTTTCAGGAAAATTAAGTAACAGATGTTTATTAATTTGCTACTAATATTTCCTAACATTATGCCATGTTTTATGGCAGTTGCTTGCAAAATGTGTTGACATTAAGAAATACAATTTACATTATGATGAACACACACATGTATGATGACTATAAAATAATTGCTGTTATAAAAAATACTCTTATTTTTTATATTTGTTCTTTCCTTCCTCCCGCCTTCCTTCCCTCCTTTGTTCCTTCTTTCCTTTTTCTCTTCTTCTGTGTCTCTCTTCTTTCCTCCTTCCATTCCATTTTTTATTCTGTCTTTCCTTCTTAGTGCTGATCGAAAAGTTGACTTACGAATTCAATTTTATAACTCATCAATGGATAATAGCCTGTAATTTTGAAAAACACTGTTCTTTGAGATATAACAATTTCTGCCTTTTGGTGCCTGCACTTCTGTTAGGGACCATAATGAGATAGTGGGATATATAACAAGATGGTTTCTTATATAAAGACACAACACACTGTAGAGAATTGAATACTTGATTATATCCAGCAGTTAAATAATAGGAGCCATGTCACAGAACCAGCCATGAAGATACCTTTGCCGCAGGCGTGGGCTGTCGAGAATCCCAGCAAATGGGCCCAAAGCGTCTCTCTGTTGAACCCCTGGTGTCCCGTCTATGTCATCTTTTGCCTTCTTTGGCTTTTGCAGTGAGGGACCCCTGGCGGTGACTAGGAATGCCTTTCTCCGGAGGGGATTTATTGGATCAAAGGCAGAAACAACTTTCTCTCCAGTGACTCTTTCAAATTTTAGAAAACCGTCTTTCATACTTACTGTCAGTATCTTTTTACATGTCAGAATCATTCAAAACCGCGTGATTTCTGCATTCGCTACACAGCAGGCCCAAAATCACCCTTTATATTTTGACCATGCACTTTTCTGCATGCCTGCCACTGTTTCGGAATTTGTGTGAGACTGTTTTGGGGACAGGTTACTTCGGAGCCTCCACATTGTGTATCATTAGAAAGTAATAGTTCCCCCAAAATGGCTCATGGCCGGGTGCTCTCCAAGTCCCCTGAACCGCCTGGTGCTTACCTCTGTGCCAGTCACACACACAGGAAAAGGGACACTGTTAATACTATGAATCTGAAGCTTATGAATGGTGCCTGTGTCAGGGATGAACTTTCTCTTGAAGCTCATGTTTAGAATATGAAGTGTTAGTATTAACAACCCAGTGCGCAGATCACAATCACTGCTGAAGGAGGCCACACTCCAAAAGCTTAGTTTGCCGGAGCCTGCTGATGGTTTGAGAGCTGGAGGCTCTTTGCCACCCTTCCCCTCCCCGCCCCTTCCCTCCCTCCATCTCCTAATGGCTCCTGTGTTTTCAGAATTGCACAGTAGTGTTTTTAAAGATAGCACATATCTGAATGGCTCAGACTATCCCAGACTACAGAGCTCTCTTATCTCTTCTTAATGACAGTATGAATGCCAGAAGGAGACAGAAAATTCAACTCTGAAAATAAAAACTAATATGATTTAAAAAAAACAAACATCGGCATTAAGTACATTTTAACTTCTGCATTCCCTCCACAGTGGGTCACACTTTCTCACCTGACCACATTCTTGTCAACACGTCTATCATCATTTCAAAGCTTCGTGCAACAGTGCACTTAGCCAGGGTCTGCTCGGTGTCAGATTCTGAGATCATGGCTCAGAAATTCTCACTGGCCACCACCTCACAGGCCTGACATCCTGTCAGCATCCCCAGTTCACAAAGAAAGAATCCGAGGCACGGAAGGTGAAAAATTTGCCCAGAATTACACAGCTTCTGATCGACAGAGTTCAAATCTAAGCACCTGACTTCAAAACAGTGCTCTTAACCACTCTGTAATATTGTCTTTAAATATTGATTTAAACCTAAAAATGAGCTGATTTTGAAATTGGGTCAATCTACAATATGAAAAGCAGTGCTAAATTTTGAAAAATGAATTAAGCATGTTTCTAAATTCACTTGGTTGACATAAAAGTAAGAGGGAGAACAAATGAGGAATGAAGTTGATACTGATGCATGAATCTTGCGATATAACTAAGTGAGTTCTTCAAGTTGCGCAGACTGAAGGGGAAGACCACTTAGTGCTCAGGTGAGTTCTAGTATCTACTGATGCTAAAATGTATTTGAAAATGGCCAAGAGTAAGGAACTCTGCATGGTTTAATTATCCCTGGTAGGAAAGGGAAGTTAAAAATGGAAATGGTTTCCTTAATAATATTTTAATTCCTTCTTTTGCCTAAACTCTGCATGTGATTCCAGCCTGAATCTGATTCCCGAATCAACGGCGTCTCCCCCTGGGCGTCCCCTCAGCGATCCGCGCTGGGCCACGCGCTCGATGCGGACCCCAGCCCACAGTTCCCCCCAGCAGGTCAGTGTCCCCCAGACTTGGCTGCCCCCCGACACTGCTCTGGTCTGTGCCATTTGTTATTTTCATTTTAAGTTAGAAATCATACACGTGGCTGTCTTAACACACAAAGGAGTTTTCTTTTCTCTTTGGTCTCAGGTGAGTACAAAGCCACTTAACAATATCAAAAATGCAAAAGTATGTAAACAGTGTGTAATAGTGGATCGAATTTTGGTGAAAGATGAAAAAAAGTGCTCTTTTCTTTTGGGATGAGCAACAAATTACGTTTTTTGCCTTGGGAATGATTATGTTTTCTTTTTTTTTTAAGTAAATTTCCTTTCTCTAAGACTTCACATTTGTACATATTCAGAATATAATACTAAAGAACATTACACTAAACATGGTTTTCTCTGCCCAGATCTGGGAACTCAGTATTCTGCGTTCTCCACTTCAATCCCTGTAGACATTGCCACCCCCGTCACCCCCATTTGGAGCAGAGGTCCCTCCAGCCTTCCTTGATTGCAGAGAGGACCTGTCAGTGCTGCTAGGAAGGACCCTGTCAACCACGCATCCCGGGATGACATTTTGTTATGGATGAAATTCAGTTCCAAAATTCTACTGGGGGCCACCTACTTTAACCAAATTCATTTGTTTATGAGATATCTTTTGCTACATTAATCAGAAGAAAACTTAAAATACTAATACTATTTTAATTTTTTTTAACAAGAGAATTATTTTGCTATTCATTCTAGAATAAAACCATGAAAGTATAAAGTCTCTTTTATGAGATACCCCTAGTTTATTTTTCTCTAGCCCATGGATTTTTTTCCTACAGAAACATCTGGTACATTTTATTTATGTATAAAATTATATTACAAGTAAATTACTACGAAAGTGGTTTTGGTATTTTTCCCTAAAATTGTCATTATCTGCGAGAGTTATTTTCCCATTGATATTCAGAGGCGACAGCTGGTATTTTCTCCTGAGGTTGGGTGTTGGTGAAAGGTGGACACTGGTTTGAGAATGTCTGTTCTTCTTATCGCTGTCTCAGCAGCAGAGGACCTGCTGGCCCCCCCTCACGACACCAGCACGGACCTCACGGAGGTCATGGAGCAGATCAACAGTTCCTTTCCATCCTGCTGCCGTGAGTATGAAGGTCCTCGCCCCACCACCGTGCCTGTCCCTCCCATTCCTTTTCCAGTGGGGGCCCTTGTCTTCTTAGGTAAGCTAACAAAATCCATATGAGAAACCGATCGAATATTATTTGAAAACAAATCAAACATTTCATATGTCAGCAAAGCATGAAGACAAATAAAATAAGTCTGGTTTTAGGAAGAAATTGTCCTCTGCAGTGCAAGCAATAGTAGGAAGTGTGCATTACTTCAGACTAGAGCTCTTAGTGGGCTGACAGACAAGGAAGGAAGATAGCCTTTCCCAGGTGATTCCCTCTCCAAACCTGATCTCCGATGTCATCAGATCCAGGTGCAGAAAGGGGTTGGTTTCAGATTTTCCTCTTTTTTCTTCTGGTTTCTTTGTTTACGGGATCAGGCAGTCACCTTGTATAAAGGCCATGCCATTGAAGGCATTAGAGGCTATGACCTAGTGACTTTTCCATGTGAACAATCATGAGCCAGATAAAAACCCCATAAAGGCAGTTCAGTGCCTAGAGGAACTTACTAGAAATTCTCGCGTATTGATTTTCTTCCGAAGATTATGCCTTCAGCATCTCACCACCTCGTAGTGTGTGCTGAGCTCTCACCAAAAACACGTTTCACACGGCAACAGGTGACGAACACGCATATTTACCGCTTACCCTTTTCCATCCTTCCTTGGGAAAGTACTCTCCTCAGTGAGGAAAAAGACATTATCAGGAGTATAGATAATTAGATACATGAACTTCATTTGAAAAGTATCTTTCAATTTATACCATTCTGCAATTCACAAAATTCATCATCAGCAGGAAGTGGAAATAGCTATTTGAAACATAGTCTCTCTGAAGTTTTAGAAGTATTTGCCTAAAGGACATGTTCCAGTTTCTACAGCACATCAATATATTTATATTTGGGAGTGTGTCATTTTCCAGGTTATTATTTATAGTTCTACTTCTCAAAGTTTGCTGAATCATATTTATTCTCTGTCAGTCCCCACGCTTATCCCCTAAAAGAAGCATGTATACACACACATGCACACACGCATGCACACACTCATGTGCACACTTTTGGCCTTGTAGAGACTTACAGAAGCATTAAGTCCATAGACTATCAGATTGGTGCTTTTTTTCTAGGCTTTCTAACAGTCATTAAAGATGAACAGATGAAATCTTTTATATTATATTTTTCAAGGTTGAATTTTCTAGAGAATTGCTTTCTGAGGTTGTATGTTACCTAATTACTAGATATAGTATTTCTAAGCCAGAGTTTCAAAATTAAATTTGTAAATAAAATTACTTTTTAGGTCAGCTTAAATTTAAATGCCATTAATAACTTATTAAAAACAAATTATGGTCCGGCCTATGTGGCTTAGTGGTCGATCATCGACCCATGCACCAAGAGGTCACCGGTTCAGTTCCCGGTCAGGACACCTTCCCAGGTTGTGGGCCCGATCCCCAGTGAGGGGCATGTAGGAGGCGGCCAGTCACTGTTCTCTCTCATCGATGTTTCTGTCTCTCTCCCCCTGTCACTTCCTCTTTCTCTAAAAAATCAATAAAGGAAAAGAAAAAAAATTAAACAGAAACAAAAAACAAAAAAACAAAGTATGTAGCCCTGACCAGTTTTCCTCAGTGGTTGGAGCATCAGTCTGCAGACCAAAGAGTCCTGGGTTTGATTCTGGTCAAGGACACGTACCTTGGTTGCAGTTACAGTTCAGTCCCCAGCCCTGGTCAGGATCTTGCAGGAAACAGCTGGTCAATGTGCCTCTCTTACATTGATGTTTCTCTCTCTCTCTTTCTCCCCCTCTCTCCCACTCTGTCTAAAAATAAATGAGCAAATGTCCTTGGGTGAGGATTAAAAAAAAAAAAAGTAAATCAAAGCCAATTAGAAGTTTTTATTTAAATGTCATGATGGAGGCCCTGGCTGGGTGACTCAGTTGGTTGGAGCATCATTCCACACACCAAAAGGTTGTGTTTGACGCCTGGTCTGGCCACATATCTAGGTTGCAGGTTCGATCCTTATTTGAAGTGTATACAGGAGGCAACTGATCAGTGTTTCCCTCACATCAGTGTTTCTCTTTCTCTCTCTCTCTCTCTCCAAATCAATTGAAAACAAAATATCCTTGGGTGAGGATTAAAAACAATTAAAAAGAAAATATCATGATGGACATTTTCAATAAAAAGTCAGTTGGTAGAGCCCGGCCAGTGTGGCTCGGTGGTTGAGCATCAACCCATGCACCAAGAAGTCGCTAGTTTGATTCCTGGTCAGGGCACATACCCAGGTTGTGGACCCAATCCCCAGTCGGGGGCATGCAGGAGGTGGCCAATCGATGTTCTCTCATCGATGTTACTATCTCTCTCTCTCCCTCTCCCTTCCTCTCTCTCCAAACTCAATAAAGAAAAAAATAAAGTCATTTGGCAGTGAGAGCTAGGAAGGGATATGGTTAAATTTATGGTTTATAAGTAGACATAAAATATATAATTTCCATATTTAAAATTTTATACTAAAAATTAATGTCTTTTTAAATGTTTAATTTTATAAAGCAGTTATTCTTAATTTTTTCACAATATAGTATAGCTTGATTAAAAACTGATCTTTATCATAATTTAGAAGTGCATGTAATTAAAAATAAATAATAACGATAATTGTAGGGCAAAAATGAATCTTAAGAGGTGAGTGTGTTCATCTGATTTTATGACCTCCCTTAAAGGCAAGTATAAAATTTCCGTAGGTCGAATCTCATTAGCTAGTAGTAGACATCACTGCTCCCAGAGGAGAATGTATATCCTCACTGGGACCCACATAATAGGTTAAGCTTCTGTTTGCACTGAGGCTGCTCCACCTGTGCTGTTCTGTGTTGTGAGAGGGATACAGAGCCCCGAGGCTGACTGCTGGGACACTGGCCCCATGTTCTCTTAAGTTTGTGCATTCACAAATACTGCAATATGTGTAGTTTCTGTGGATGAGTATTACTAGTCATGTGTTTTCTTGAAGAGCTCAAGTACTGGACATCCCATGTGAGAAATGATAACTAGTGTATCTTAGAGTCCTTTGAAATTGAGATCTTATTTGTGATTCCCGCTATTAGTTTGGGTGTACTTTGCTCTTGTTGGTATTTATATTCTATATTTTGCTTTGGCAATATAAAAATTTTCAAGATAGGGACAGCTATACATAAAAATAAAGGCTTAGTTGACTTATTTGTAAAGTGGCTACATATTTTTTTAAATTCTGCCTCAGGTGATTGATCCTTTTAAAAATTGATGCAGAATAGAAATGAGCAACTAATGCAGACTTGGTGTCCATTGCATGTTTCTGAATTGGACGGACAGATGATGGATGAGTGGATGGATGGATGGATGATTTCATTTTCCCACTGGGAAGGTTAGGTTGTTGAAGTTTCCCCAGATGGTACTCAGAAGGTTCTGTAAGATTCATTTGCTTTGTTGTCCTTTTTAAGTTACTCAGTTGGAAAACATTTTAATAAGCCTTTAAGTTTCCAGAGCTTCCTGACCACCTTTAGAGAATGTTTCTAAGCAAATCAGCCAGACACCCTCCCAATACCAAGCCAATCTCATGCATCCCTGAAACTAATGAGAACTTTGAAATTGCTTGTCACTCACATACAATGAATGGATCTGCATGTTAATCTTGACTGTGATCCTTTGCGGGTTAAAAATGAGCATGGTCACAAGTAAATTTCTACTTCTGGCAATCTTGGAATTAAAATTAAAATGTATTCACAAATCCTCATTGCATGAGTTGCCTTCTTAAGCATGGCTTTTTTTTTTTTCTTTTTGTATTTATATATTATTGCATATAACACTTTATAATTCCTCGTTTTTTTGTTTTTTTTTTATCCTCACCCGAGGACATTTTTCCACTTTTTGTACAGATAGAGTGGGAGGGAGAGAGAGGAGGAGAGAGAGAGAGAAACATCGATGTGAAAGGGATACATCGAGTGGCTGCCACCCGCACGACCAACCAGGGCCGGGGACAAACTGCAACCGAGGTACGTGCCCTTAGCGGGAACCGAACCCGGGTCTCTCTGGACCGCAGGCGGACGCTCTAACCGCTGAGCCAAACCGGCCAGGGCTAATTCCACATATTTTAATTAATATCATGGTTGATCTTGATAGCATCCTTGAATTATGGCCCTTTTAAAGTCTTTCTTTAAATATTTATGTTAAGTTTCAGAGCAAAGCGGCAGGTATGTCTGCTAATGAAGTGAATTTAATTATGTTACTCATTAACCAACATACATACTAAAACTTCGACTGATGTAACTTTTTTTTAGTTTAAATTATTTTGCTAGTTTTTTTTTTTATTTATGTCATCTAAATATGTGGGATACTAGTAATAAGCTGAGTATTTTTTTAAAAGCAACAAATGCTTAAAAACTATTTTTTTTTTTATCTATAGGCATAATTTCACTGCGAGTTGCCTAAGTTTATTAAGCCTGAGTGACATTTATCAAAGAAAAAACCTCAAAACCTACAAAATGCACTGATTTTCTGATATCTTTTAAAAATATATTTGTATGATTTGTTCAGGAGAGTACCCATAGCCTTTTCTTTAGAATAATTTTCCCTTCCTTCCTTCCTTCCTTCCTTCCTTCCTTCCTTCCTTCCTTCCTTCCTTCCTTCCTTCCTTCCTTCCTTCCTTTCTTTTTCTTTCTCTCTCTCTCCCTCCCTCCCTCACCGGAGGACATTTTTGCATTCATCTTCAGATAGAGCGAGAGGGAAAGAGGAAGGAAGAGAGAGAGAGAAAAACATCAACGTGAGAGAGACACATCAAGTGGCTGCCACCCACATGACCCCAACCGGGGCCGGGGACAAACTGCAACCGAGGTCATGCCCTTAGCGGGAACTGAACCCTGGACTCTCTGGACCGCAGGCCGACGCTCTAACCACTGAGAAAAACCAGCCTGGGCCCCGAAACCTTTTATTTGATAAAAAGTTGTAGAGTTTAAAATGTTGGTTTGGCCCAGGCAGTGTGGTTCAGTGGTTGAGCATCGACCCATGTACCAAGAGGTCGCCAGTTCGATTTCCAGTCGGGCACAAGCCCAGGTTGTGGGCCCAGTGCCCAGTGGGGGGCACGTAGGAGGTGGCCAATAGATGGTCTCTCTCATTTTCCCTCTCCTTTCCCCTCTCTCTAAAATCAATAAAGAAAAAATATTAAAAATAAAATAAAATGTTGGTTTGGGGCAAAATGGATTAGATTTCCGTTTGCGTTTGGCTATTTCTTACTTAGAAGAGAAGTGCAGCACTGTGCGGTACTTAACATCAAGGCAGCTAAGCACTTTCTCAGGTGGAGCTCGCGTGTGTGAGGGGCCCCTCGCTTTCTTCCTGTTGTAGCTTCCATATCTGGCAGGACTGGGGGGGTCAGGCGGACTCTCCGCGCCACTGCTGGGGCCCAGTCTAACTCTCCAGGCGTCACAAGCAGGCCGCCTTCTCATTTGCTCTTTTTGTCTCACAAGTGACGGGCACGCACTCTGTGGCCTCAGATACCTTTTGTTTTTTCCTGAGCACAGGAAAATGAGAGGGAAGGACCAAAGCATGCTAGTGGTTAGAGACGATTCCTCTTGGACCCGGAGGGGCGGAGCTCCCTTTCCCCAGTAGGGCTGAGTAGAAGATAATTATGAGATTTTTCAGTGAAAAAGAGAGATGAAAAAGCAGAGGCCTTAAAAAAATAATACTAGTGGCTGCCCTCACAGTGCCCACCAGAGCAGCCACATGGCCGGGCGCCCTCCGTGACCAGGAAGGGGTTGAGTGGCAATTCCGATGCAAAGGTGAATGAGACACCATGTTCTAACTTCCCCGATGCTCTTAGCTGGGGCTGCCCAAGGACGATTACCAGCCCAGGCTCCTAGCAGACGGCGAGGATTGGGCCAGCCCTTTCCCTGATGTAAGCACATTGCCGCCGCCTTCCTGGCCTTTGGGACAAGAGCGAGTCAGGGTGGCAGAAAAAGACTCGCACACCTTCATTTCCCTAATGGCTTCTCGGTCAGAATTGGTACTATTCGGCAAAATAGACAGAATTTGCTTTGTTCTGATACATAAACCAAATACATGCAATATGTCAGTGGGCAACTTTGAGATTTTTTGGCAAAACTAAGTACTCACTGAATGCTTTAGTGTGTACCTTTGACAGAGCCGGCATATGCTTTGCATATTTTGGTGGAATTTGTGTATCTTAAAGCGCTTGAAATATGAGAGACTAGGGAAACTAGCCTTTGTTAACGCAGCTAGCGTGCGCACGCACACACACACACACACACACACACACACACACACACCGGAAAACTCGTATCTTATGAGCATCCATTTAACATGCTGGGAATGGCATACTGTGCATGCTTGAGGGGGGGAACCAGCCAAACAACAGTACCACATTACATTTATTTACTTTTTTGTTTGTTTTCTCTTTCAGCAAATCTTCCCAGCAGGCCACAGGTAAGAGTTCATGATTTTGTTATCAAAAATTCCAACAGAAATAAAAAGAGAGTTTTTTTTCATATATGATGAACTAATCAGGGATGTAGCCCTCAGTATGAGCCAAGGACATGTTCCAAACCAAGATGGGCCAGGTTTTCCGAGGCAAATGTTGCAAGTGCTGACAGTCAAAGAGATGGGTTGCTAGGGGAAGCAGGACCACACACTCACATTATTCACTTTCTGATCGGGGGGCAACTGGACCTTCGACGGGCAGGCAGCTGACTCGGCGGCCAGCAAGCGGGCTGTGCGACGAACGGTGGGTAACATGATCAGCATTTGTCGTCGTCCCGTTCAGGGTCGTGCTGATAGAGCGAAAGCTTTGGTGACTTGCGAACCAAAATAAGACAACACGGAGAGGCGGTTCGTTCCAAGTCCAAGGAACAGAGTCATGTGCTGTAAGCAGCCTCAGAGTTCAAACTGCAAAAATCCAAAAGTTAGGCCACAAATTATATGAAAGTTCCTATAAGTCTTCAGGTTGGTTGGCTCATGTGTTGATTACAACCCAGAGCAAGGAGATTAGCCACTGTCAATTTTAGTGCTACTTTATGCCCATGTAAATAAGTAAACTTGCCTGACATTTCGACGTTAGTTGATTCAGTACAACAGTTTGTCAGTCTGGGGAGGGGGAACCCCTCCCACGCCAGTTCTCCCAGATACGTGATCTGATAGCTTTTTTTACAGCCACATGCATGCTATGTACAGTTCGCCTGTACAGATGTGGCTGACCACCGTTCTCCCTGGTAGCGCTTAAGGGCCATCACAGAACATTGGCATAAAAACAGTGCCTGGAGCAGTACACACAGGTGGCTCTGCTACCTTGGGGGCAGGGAGTCCACGTTTCCTTTAAAAATTTGCAGAGGACTGTTGGCAGCCACAGCCTTTCAGTATTTTCCTTGTCAGACACTCTTAGTAATAATGTGCCATAAGACCATAGATCTTTGGAGAACGTTTTCTTCCATGAACTTTTTTAGTAATCTTTTTGAAGCATTGAAACTTCAGATTGTCTCATTGTCTTATTGGCAAGAGAGGCTGGAATCTTAATGAGAAGCACAGACAGTTTGTCTTTAGTAATCTGAAGAAAGACAAGGGTCATAAAGCAGATAAGTGGATGTGGTGTGAGAGCTGGAGAGACGGAAGGACCTCGCCCGGGAGCAGAGTTCCTCTTCTGATTGCTTCTGTTGTTTAGTGAATCAGAAGCTGGGACTTCAGCAAAGAGTGAGGGTGGGAGGGAGCGTCCTAGGTGTGAGGTAAGACTAGAGAAGGTGCAGCTTCTTGGAGATCAGGAAAGCACACCCTGGAACAGAGTGTGACTAACTTCCAGGCAGTATTCAAGGGCACCAATTAAGGTGCCTGTTAGTGAATTTAATGTGAGGTCAGTGTGGGTCTGTGTGCTGCTCTCCAGCCTCATTCAAGTTCATGAGTAGGCATCAGAGTAGGCCACGACTGCAATTCACTGAAACTGAAGTTGTGGTTTGGCCAAGACAGTACATACAGCAATTCAAGGGAAGAATCAAAGGAGTGATAATAATGATTGAACCAGGCATCTCAGCCGGGTAGGGAGAGAAGTGAGGATGTCTTAGGTGTGGGAGACAGAAAAAAGGTGGGAGGTTCAATGCATTGTAAAATCAAAGGATAGATGAAGTTGGGTGCTAGTGGAAATAAGCTGGAAAGGTAGAGATGGTTGTCAGAGGTGGGATGATGGAAATTAAAATGTTGGAGGGATTCAGGTGTTGGTACTGGTCCATATTTAGAACTTTAAATGAGTGGCTAAGATAGGTGGAGGACAAGTTAATTGGAGGTGAAGACCTCAAGGAACCAAAAGGCAACAGTGTTGGAAGAATCATCTATTTAGGTGTTGCAATCATTAAGATTTTAAAACAACTTTAGACTTGTTGACAGTGAGCCATTTCTTCTTCAAGAAGTAAGGGAACATTGGCCCAGGGGTCAGAGGTGACTGCATGGTATAGTCTGTTGGCATGACATTCAAAGCTGGGTGTTTTTAGGGATAAGAGAGGAGGAAAATGCCCCGAGAAACAAGAGGACCTATCCAATCTGTGAGGACCGTGGGTGATGACAAACAGTCACGAGTGTGTGAGAGGGCTCTGGGGAAGCTGTGTGCTCAGGGGAGATGCAGATATGGATGAGAGCCAGCCAGGGAGGTGTGCTTTCAGAGCGTGTGAGGACGTGGCTTTCATGGCGATGGACCGAGTGGTGTGAGGGCTCAGGGGAAGGGTTTTGAGAACTAGGGCGGGTGGGCCGTGGGGACAGAACAAGGGATATGTGATCTCTGTATGGGACAGAGCACATGAGATGGGAGGTGACCAGCAGTCTGGAGCATGTCATGTGGCCCATTATTAAACGAGGATAAAGAACATGATGAGATGAATCCTCATGGTCTCAAGGTAGGGGCAAGGCTATGCGTGATGGGAGTCAGGAAGGGGAGCAAGAATCTTCTTTTAAATCCTCAGATACTTTATAATAAGAGTGTCCACAGCCTAAAGCTGAAAGTGACCTTAGAGACCTGCTGCTCCTACTTGGTTTTTAGTTTTTCGGAAACTGAGTTGTAACAGAGTTAAAATGTTCCTGGTTCATACGGCTGTTACTTAGTGGATGAAGCAGATATTTCACTCATTCCAGGAGGCCCATTCCATTTTCTTCCTTCTTTCTGCCTTGCTTTTCTTTCTTTTCTTTCCCCTTCAGCATTTTCCTCCTCTTCCCTTCATTCTCCATACGCTGGAAATTCATGAAAAGTGTATGTTTTCATCTAGATAGTTGTGCTAATATTTACATTGCATAGACTTAAATGTTTAGAATTCTGACAGCTACAGTGAGCATTATTGTGTCCTTCTTTAGTAGACATTTATTTAATTGTAAATAGACAGGGATAATAAAGTATATAGAAATAACAAGCAAAAAAACTTTTAGCCCTGGCCGGTTTGGCTCAGCGGTTGGAGCGTCCACCTGCGGTCCGGAGAGACCTGGGTTCGGTTCCCGCTAAGGGCACGTACCTCGGTTGCAGTTTGTCCCTGGCCCTGGTTGGTCGTGCGGGTGGCAGCCACTCGATGTGTCCCTTTCACAGCGATGTTTCCCTCTCTCTCTCTTCTTCTCTCTCCCTCCCACTCTATCTGTACAAAAAAATGGAAAAATGTCCTCAGGTGAGGATAAACAAAAAACTTTTAGTCTTCATTTCAAAGTGAATCGGCACCACCGTGTTTGTTAATATGGATCAGAAGGTTCCTTTCCCAGGAAGAGTGAGTTCCTCCCCCTCCCCGTCCCCAGGTTGAGTACTTGGAACCCCGTGTGGCAGGTGCAGACCCCACAGGGAGGGGAAGGAGAGTGCGCTGCCGAGGTCTCACCCTGCTTCCCCGGGGGCCTCACCTTGGCCCCGGGAGCCCCGCTCGCCCGCCCGGGTGGGCACAACCCCAGTGTCCGCTGTATTTCTGTTCCCTCTGACATGGCAGTGACATCGATTCTGAAGACTGTAAATCTCGATAGTAGTGGAGAGGGCGCACCAGGGGAGGGTCAGATGGTTTTCTGTCCTGGGGCTGGAGGACAAGGGGCCCCTCGCTCATCTTTCCCAGGCGCTGCCAGGAACATAGTTCCGGGGCGAGCAGGGCTTCACCCCACGTCCCTCCATCAGAGAAGAGGAAGTAGAGAAGGGTTCTTTCCAGCAAGGCCGAAAGGCCTCTTGGGATTTAGGAGGCGTGGCCCCAGTTTGGGATGATTTCCTTTTAAGATGATTTAAAAAATAGTTCCAACTTTTCAAATATGTTTAAAAGACCAACTGTGTGACCTTCCCTTCACAAGGTCGATGCCCTCCCTTGAGCGTGGCCCAGGCTCACGTCCGCTCTTGCTGCGTAAGTGCCCTGAGCCCTTCCTGGGCACCACTGCAGGCTTCGGACCGTGGCACCTGCCCTGGGTTCCTCTTGCCTGGGCCCCAGTTTGGGACTCAGACTGGTTAGAATTGTCAGGGTACTTCCACTGCAAGAGACCCCCAGCCCCCAGGGAGCGGGTACTTGCTCTGGCCAAATTTACTCACCGTCGGTTCCTCCTGCAAGAAAAAGACACGTCCTCCCCATCTTAACTTGCTTCCCAGCCTGGGCAAGAGCCAGGTCGCCCAGGCTTCCTCTGTGCTGGCTGCGGGGTGACTGCAGGGTGAGGGCCAGGACCATCCCAGGGAGCAAAGGTCTCACGGGTGAAGGTCCCCTCTGAACATGGCAAAATAGGGTTTTCATTCGGAAAGCAGCACTTTCATTTCCTTGAGGAGCTGACAGGCCTCTGCTACCTGCTATGTGAATGCTGTTCTGACTGTACCGGTTTCCCTCCCGCAGGCAATGTGAAGGGTGCGTCCAGCCCGCGTTCCTGACCTTCAGTACTGCCCGTTCCAGCAAATGCCCGTCCCAGCTCCATTCCGTCGGAGGCCCCAAAGCTCCTGAAACAGGCTGCTGAGCGCAGGCTGTGTGTCTACTGAAGGTGTGAAGCACTGACTATCCAAAGAGAAAAGGATATTTTGTTTTTATAACAACCGTATATTATTGTTTTCTTCTTCCCTTCTATGCAACTGTAAATGAATGAGCAGAGTGGTACTGGGAAATGGTAATGCATTTGTCACTGATTTGTATACTGGACACAGCGCTGGGCAAGTGGGTGGGGCTTTCTAACGGGTTACTTCTTTGTAATAACCAGGACAAAAATTGCATCAGAACTAGAAGACAGTTTTACATTCTACATTCCTTTATATTAACCTTGTACAATAACTTCACTTATTTCTTCAACTCTTTTACCATTACGTTTTGGTTATTTATAACTCATTAACCACATGACCAAATAGATTCCCTATGTTTGTTTTCATGATTTGGCCAATTAATAAGTTCATATATTTCAGGCAGTTATATTATATGTGTATGGACCAGCCTAGAGCTCTGTGTATACTTTCTAACTTTATTCGGCACCACACACATACTTACTGTTAGCAACCACTTGGACATCCGCACAGAAATCCTGTGAGCCCAGCCGGCATTTCCACTGGGAGTTTTTTTTTCCTGCATTTTATTTCCCTGCTCTAGATAAGTAGCTCTTGATTTCTTTATTTATTTCTCGCCCCAGTTTATATGATAGAGGAAATGGAAAGCAGGATTGTAATAATCTCACAGATCATTTACCAGAGGGTGCCCATTTAAACATTTTTCCTTTGGGCACAGAAAGAACACTTGGTGCAACCTTTCCGAGTTCCCAGGCCTTGGTTTTCATCATTAAATCCACAGCAGACTTTCACCCAATTGTAATGCCAGGCACCTTCTTGTCTTCGGTTCCCTGAGAAGAGACTTTTATTGTTGTTTATATATATTTAAGCCCTTTATAATTCTTGGAACTGCCAGTTTTCTGAAAGCAGACACGAATTTAGTGCACGTCTCAATTTGCCTTTGGGGTGAATAAACCGATGTTTTATTATCCTTCATGTGATCCATACATTTGGGAAGGATATTTCTCAGAAGCCTACGTCACTACTTGTGCAAAAGAATGAAATTCACACTTAGATGGCGGTGCCTGCCTAACTTTGAGTGCGTTCAGTTAGGCACTTGGTTCCGCTTCTGATTTAGCATCTAATTCATTCAGTTTAAACATGTTATATATGTACCAAAATGTAGAGAAACCAAGAGAAAGAGTTAAAATGATGTGTTTTGATTCAAGCACATGTGCTTCTAAAACATTTTAACTTTGGGTTCTCTTGAGCTGGGATCTGGCCAGATGGAGGCTTAAAGTTAGAAATTCCTATTCTTTGTGAATAGGTTGGGTGGGTTGGGGGGCAGGGGTGTCTATTTGCAGCATAGATATTTTGAGAAGAAGATTATTTTATACAAGAGGAAAGCCATGACCACCTTTCTACCTCAGACCTGTCTTCATCCCTCACCATGTCAGAAATAGCTTTACGCTGCTATAATCCACAAAACCCAGAGCTCTTATCAGGCCACATCATGCCCACGAAAAGCACCTATTTAAAGAAAAACGAATTCCCTGAACTCTGAACTACACGTTGTAGATTTGGTGTCTTCTTCGTTCTCTGAAAAGTTATGTATTACTTTTTTCTGCCTGTATTTGTGTGCAACACGTCCTCTATCTGCTATTACGGGAAAGCTACATAAAACACTACGTTGTAACCTTTTAAGTAATAATAAATAAAAAGAAATATATTGCAGTAACAACAAGGGTAAATAAGTATGTAGTTCTTTTGAAATATGTGGTCAAGAACTAACCATAGACTCTCATCTAATGTGGTTACATGTTGTATTTTTCATCCTGAATAAAAGTAATTTTAACACAAGATGACTTTGATATTCTTCAGCTGTGTTCACTGATAGAATCTGAGGTTTGAATGCACATTTGTGAAAATAAAATATAAAGAGAGCCTGCATCCTGATAAACCCACATATTTCCCTGCAGTTGGTCTCATCAGCACTAATACATTCTCTCCTGCTCTCGTTGTCTGTCTCTTTCTCTGTTCCTCTCTTCTCTCTTATACACAAAATTCTCAAATTCCTTTACAGGTGGAAGGCTTTATTAATAGGGAAAAAATAATGTTGGATGTTGAAAACATACCTGAACCTATAGAGCTTTTGTTTTAACAACTTAAGTGATTACCCTTTCATGTCCACTTTTAGCCTCGTGCTCTTAAATAATGTGGTTTTTATATGTGCTCAGGATTTTAACCACTATGGTAGAAAGTTTAACCCATTTCTGACGCCATCCTGTGGGAAGCACTGTCAAGAATCATGTTACTTGATTCTAAAGTTAAAAGCTATCTATGAAATATAAAAATCCCCAAACATACAGTTTGTTAAAGAAAACTGATACATTGTAATGAACATGCATTTTAAACATCCTGTCTAACCCAAAGTAATATTCACATCAAGCAAGCATTTCTGAGGAAAGCATGGTTGGTTCCAGCAACCTTGAGAACAGGTATTTAAAAATGGAAATAAGAACAAATGGAAGCGTTTGGTTTTTCTGCTAAGTCTTCGGTTTGTTATTAAGATTACATATATATTTTTAAAGAATGCAGTTTGGTCTTGGATATCTCCCCCCCACACACACACACCACCACCATTCAACTCTTTCTGTAGACCAAGTTTTTAAAAGACCCTTCTTAATTCATTAGTTGGGAATTCAATGAAAATGCAATAAAACACCACCAACACCACCCCACTAACACTAAGTAGAGTCCAGCCATTTCGCTGACATACAATATCTGCTAGTGTTTTTGTGAGGTCAACTAAGTAACAAGAGTGAGCTTGGTGGTGGAGGCCAGCAGCCAGTCACAGTCACATTATATCCACTGCCTGGGGTAACAGTTTTCTATTGCCACAGCAATGCTGCATGACAGCCATAAAACTTCAGCAACAAGCATTTGTTTAGCCCATAGGATATGGAATTCAGCTCATCTGGCAGGGCCCTTCTGGTCCCAGCTGGACTTGCTCACATGTCTGGGGTGCCTGACGTGACGAGTGACGTGGGGTGGCTACACTGGGATGACTGGCAGCTTGGCTGCCTGGGTCCTTCCATCCACTGAGAAACTAACTGTTCTCGTGCAATGACAGGGTGTGGCCGTGCCATTGGGGGACTTTGCAGAGAGCTGGCCCACCGTCACTTCTACTGAATTCTGTTGGTCAAAGCACAGGGAAAGGCTAGGTATGGGGAATAGATTCCACTTTGCTTGGTGAGAAAGACTTCAGAGATGCGAGGCACAGGGTATAGCTTCCAAGAGGGGTCCTCAGGTTTCACCATCCAAACTAGAGGTAGGCAAAGAGGAGGACTCGGCCAGAACACTAGAGCATCCATTCCTTGGGCATCATGTTCGTTGCCTCAAGGGAAGGGGAAGGAAGCAGCCTTTTTACAAGACTATATTTTAAAACAAAGGTCAAGAAGATGAGCGCCTTCATCCCAGGCCAAAAATCCAATTTCAGAAACAAGCACAGGTAGGGAAACTTCGCGTGTGTCTGCCCAAAATCCTGAGGAGATGACCTCAGGACTGATACTAAAGAAAACAGAAACAAGAAAAAAGCCTGGATGAGAATAAAGGGGATATTATTATAGCTCAGGTGAAAGTTGTTCAAACCGAAATATTAATTTTTAGTTGGAAGAACACACAATACGCAGGTCACTCTGACCAAATGAGCAGGCGCAGGCGACACCGGTCCCTGTCAGGATCTGTTTAGAAACACAATTTATTTTCACTCTGTATAAACTTACCCACTTGTTAGTAATCCCGCATTCTGAAGGCATTTCGACTGCTGACAGTTTTCATATTTTAGAATACTCACAGTGTATGCTTGAGTTCAGATATTCTTTTGCAGACAGCTTATTTTTTGGTTCGGTTTTGAATTTTGAATGTGCAAGTTTGTGAAACATTCCATATTTTTTTTAAAAAGAAAATATAAAAAGGAAAAAAAAAAGGGAAAAGTTAATTAACAATTTGCCCTCACCTTAGCTCTGTCTTCAGTCTGGAGAGTACAAATTTGAATTTGAAATTAAATGAGAGTTTCCAGACTGCTATGGTATGCAATTACAATTAGTTCCTGATACTACTTTTTAAGACCATTTTTCAGAATTGGTCAATATTGATTTTACAATATTGATTTTTACAATATTGATTTTTTTTAACGCAAATTGATTATTTTTCTAATAAAATGACATTATAAAACTGTTGGGAGAAAATGAGTCATTCTAGTGTCAATCTGACCTGAGCGAGCCTGTCAAAATCTAGGACAGTCTCATCCACGATACTCTGAACCTCAGGAGCGGTGTCTCCCGCGTGGGAAGGACACACCCGTGCTGCTCGGTGTCTGCGGAGTTTTCAGAGCTCACTCTGCCCCACACGATCCCCCGTACCCTCTCCCGCTGCCGCCCGCACCAAACAGGTGTGTATCGTCAGTGATGCCGAATATGAGATGCTGCTCCGCACAAAGCCCAGCGTGTGCTGGGCACCAGGTCTCCAAAAGGTCAATGAGAAAGTAATACAATTCAAAAGGTAAACCGCTTTAGAATTAACTGGAGGATGTAAACCGTGGATCAAAATTCTGCCTTGACCTGAAACTTGGCAGCTATAGCTGCCAGGACAATTCAATATCCAACTGCCTGGGGTGTCCAAGCCACTGTTTGTTGCTGGAAACAGAGTAAGGGAACAAGTCCCCACGGGAGGCCGGGGGAAGAAGAGTGTGCTCACCCGCTGGACGAGCCCAGCTATAATCAAGTGGTTACAGCAATAATAATGAAGCTGGTTAATAGGTCCCTATTAGAACATATAGTGTGCTCAAGATCCACACGGGATGTGCGCCCAAATATAGGAATACAGTTCAAGGAAACAATATGTGGAATTCACCATCACCTATAGAGCCATATCCCCAAAACTTCGCTGTGATGTTTCAGCCTGCTTATTGGTGACGGTAACCGTCCTAAGAAGATACTGCAGTGACGACTTGAAATACAGCAGCTGTAGCACGATTTCCCCAGTAAAAGAACTCCCTGGTTAAATAGTTTGGAGAAACACTGAATGCTCTAATGCACTTGGAGACTGACAACGCACATGAATATATTAAAAGCTTTGAGAAATCCTGAAGTAAAGCAAGCACCCTGCAGAACTGGATATCACTTTGCATTTCTAAAACATTTAACCACAAAACCCTTTGCCTCGTACCTATTAACATCCTGCAGTGTACATTTTGGATCCCGAATTAATGCCATAGGTTTTAATTTTGCAAATATATATATAGGTGGTGATCCTGTGAAGTCTAGGAAAAAAAAGACAAGTGTATAGTAAAACAGCTATCAGTCTTAATTCAGAATTTTAAAATGGAAAGTAATCTTGTGTGCCAACCAATATATTCCTATCATCAAAGAGATAAGCTAAAACCTGGGTTAGAATCAAGACAGTTGGCCCTCAGCTCAACTCTGTCCTTGGTTCAGGAAACACAAATTTCTTTTTCTAAAATCCATGTCTTCCTAGATGAGCCATGCACCGCAGGCCCTACTAAACCAGACATGAATTTCTAAAACAGCAGGATCTAGGATTGGCTGGGGTATCAAAACTGTTTCCTGAGATCCCATTTTTGTTTATTTCTTTACTTAATAATGGGGATTCCTGGTTTCTGCCAAATCTGATAAAAATAGCCCTTGCCCAGTGGTTCAGTTGGTTGGAACGTTGTTTATACACCAAAAGGTGGTGGGTTCATTTTCCAGTCAGGGCACTGGTTTTCTTGGTAGGGGCGCATGGGGCAGGCAACCGATGATGTTTCTCTCACATAGATCTCTCTCTGTCTCTCTCTCTCTCAAGTCAATAAATATATCCTCGGGTCAGGATCAGAAAAACAAAACCAAACTGACTAAGACATTATGCAATCAGAATGTGACAGCCATGTAATAAATGGAGATATAAATACCATTTATTTTCTCTCCTTCAAAAAACACTTTTAAGGTCCGACTCCTCTGCATGCAGGTAAGCACTCGGCCATATTTTCCTTCTAGATCTGTTTATAAAAAAGTTTTATAAAGCAAAACAATGCTCTAGAACAGCAATTTTCAACTGGTGTGCCACAAGAATTTTTAAAACATGCAATACCTATGCAATACCTGACTATTTAGTCTGGGGCATTGACCTCTTTTCCCTTAGATTGTTAAATAAAAAAAAATTACAATAGCCAGCTCAACAATAGCTGTACGGTGTGAATACCCTCTCTTAACCATAAATATATGTCATTTAACAGAGTTGCATCTTATTGGTCGCATTGCACAATAAGGTTGCATCTGATAGGTTAATTCTTGGTACCAGAAATCCTTATATACAAGTATTGGCACCTGGTTTTTTTAAATGTCACTTTGGAGCAGAAGGGTAGGTAATTACTATTATTATTTTCTTTGTAAATCAATCAGAATTATACCTATTTTTTTGTCAGATCAGCAAAAACATATTTTTTGGTGCACTGCAGAATTTTCGTAATTAGTTTGTGTACCATGAGATGAAAAAGGTTGAAAATTTCTGCTCTAGATTGTCACAGCCTGTTTGAATTGTTTTCTAAATCTGTTCATTTAGTGTACTGAGCAAACATGCCCTCATTATTAAATTCATTTCCCACATTATATTGATAACAAAAAGAGGAGTCCTAGATAGCACTTATTGGAAATGTGCACTGTGAATGTGAATGGATCTTCTTGAGATTTGTTACCAATTATCAACACTCTTAGATTTTACAGAGAGAGATAATTTGTTTAAGTGGAGTTCCTGAGTCGGAACAGTTTAGAACCAAACCTGTAAAAAATAGAAATCAGAGT